ATAATGTTTTCAACTTACGTATTGAATTCAAAATAACGAGCATTTCTGTTTAAGGATTCAAGTAAATCTATATCTTGTGTAGTTAACTCGAAATCCCAGACATCAAAATTTTCTTTCTGCCTCATCGGGTTGGATGACTTTGGTATGACTATAACACCTCTTTGAATCTATTTTTTCCAACACATTACAAGTTACAGACAAATAGAAATAAATAAATAATATAATCATTACTTGGAACTTAATCAATATTTGAGCATTGGATTTCTTATACTTATCAGCTAATTGTTTTACAATAGGTTCATCTAAAATAGCATCTTCTTCTGGTCCTGCCCATGATCTTTTTGCTGATCCTAATGGTGCATAACCAGTTAATAGTATACCATTACTTTCACAAAATGCTTTCAGTTTATTTTGTGTTAAATAAGGATGGCATTCAACCTATAATAACAATTTTTTTTTAATAAATCAATTTTTTGTATACAAAGTGTCCCTCGAGCATTTACCCATTGAGATATCTCCTGAGATAATAAATATATCATAAATCTGTTTTTTTTTATTAGACTCACATAGACAAGGGCTATATGTATTTAATTTTTAATTTAATTTAATCTTTTAATTTTTTTCAAAAATTAAAATACCTATTTTATAGAGTTTATTTTACTGAAAATGTTGACCTTTCAACATTTTATTTTCATTAATCTTATAATTTTAAATAATTTTTTAGYTTATGGATAAAATGCCAGAAAACTGGTTTTTATTCATGCCGGCAAGTCCCCCTCTACGATTAATGGGTATATTCTCACAGGACACTTAGTATATTATAATTTTTAATCTTGTTCATACAATAAAGACATAATAAATATTTATGGACTAAATAAAAGAAAAAAACTAAAAACCCTGTATAACACCCATTGATTACAATAATTATTATAAAAAAATAGTTTATGTAAAATCATTAAACTCAATCATAGAAATTAAAACAGAACTGAAACATATTATTTCCCTATTTTAACACTATTTTACCTGATTAACAACTGGTTTAATAGTAGCTATTTCTARAATATCTTTTAACTGTTTAATATTGAAATTTGATACTCCAATCGATTTTGTGAGTCCTTTTTGAACACATCCTTCCATAGCTTTCCAAGTTTCTAAATAAGAAATACCGGAACCTAATAACCGACCTTCGCTGTCAGTAGCATTAGAATCTTCCTAAAATTYAAAACATGATTATAATAGTAGAGGTAAACAAATTTTGATTTTAAGTTATCTATATATTAAAATATTAYTTACACTAGTTCCAAAAGGCCAATGGATAAGATATAAATCGACATAACTTAAACACAGATCATTCAAAGTATTCTTCAATGCTTCTTCTACCAGCTCAAATCTATGCTTATTGTTCCACAGCTTAAACAAATTAAACAAAGCAGACAACAAAAATAAAAATATCTTTCAAACAAATTCATTAGATTAAGCACAATTCAAATTTAAATTTTACAATTTACTAATAAGTTATTATTAAATAACTTTTGTAATTGATTTTAAAATTAGTTTAATCATTTCTTTCTCCCAGATGCAATATTACGTCCATAACATTAACATAATTCACCGTTCCAGACATATTATTACATTYCTGTATTTTATATCATTTTCCGTTAACCATACAATCTTAAGAAACAYTGTTTACTATTAAAAAAATGCATTATATTATATTATTATGTGATATGCAAAGGTAGCAGAGCATAAATAATGTAGAAGTAAAGAATGGTTAGGTTCGATTAATTTCTTAGTAATTAAGAATAATTACTGATTATGCATATCATCATGTGATTGGAATTATTACCAATGTCATATTTTCATCAAGATATTTGTAATCTCTTATTTGTCTCCAACATTATAAAATTAATGTATTTAGTACCTTAAAAATGTTGTTTCTCGTTTTACAGATAATTGTAAAAGTATTGGCTAAACTTAGTATTTATTTTAAACAAATTTTATATCCTTATCGTAATTTAAAATATTTATAAACATTTTTATCAATACATTGCCACAACATACCTTACTAGTGATGTATAGTTCATCTCTTTTAATTACACCTTCTGAAATTTTATCATTTACAGCCTTTCCCACCAATTTTTCATTGTTATAAATGGCCGCACAGTCAAAATGACGATATCCTATGTCAATTGCACTTTTTATGGAGTCGATGAGCGCAGCGTGAGTAGAGTCATCAATAACTGATGACGCCTGGAAAAATGAATGTTTTTAAAATGCCACAGTCAAAACTACAAAATAGAAATTCGACATTTTCGTTAATATAATAATATATTACCTGCCAAGTTCCCAAACCTAAAATTGGATATAGCTGACCGTTATTGAACTTCACCATTTTTGTCAAATTCGATGCCATATTTGAAGTATCTACTGGCCTAAATGGTAATCATAAAAATAATTTTTAAAACAAAAATTTAGCAGTACAATATAACTGTAATACTTACCGTGGAAAATATATGACCTGTAGCAGTAGTTAGTGGCACTATAGTGACTGGTTAATGGATATTGGAGTTTCGCACTTTTGAGTGATGTTGCATAAGTTGTGTATTATATTATAAGACTGTCAATACTCATTACTCAATATTCCAGACGTCCAAAGTAATTGGTAATTGAGTAGCTACTAAATTATTAACTATTATTATACCTATTACCTACTATTTATATGGTGATAATTATTGATAAGCCAGTTGAGTAGACCACAAGTCAACAAAAATGTACCAATGGGCAACGGGTTACTAATTTACTATACCTATTCGTATATCATATTAATATGATTTGTTCCGTAATCCGT